GACAAGTCTCTTAATCACTGAGCCACCCAGGAGCCTAACAGCCTGTATTTTTGAAGACGAGACCAAACACCCTCAGAAAGAATGCCATAAAATGCATGAAACAGATACCTTTAAAGATGATATATTCAACAGCCCCTATGGATCATAGCAATGTAAAAAAAGGCCCTAAATTAAGGCCAATGAAGAGGAGCGAGTAGGAAAGCTACACTAGAGGACAGAATTCCCGTTATAACATCATAACGAGGGTTTGGCAGGAACCTTTATGAATACATCACCATCGTTAAAACTCATCTTTCAATAAAACCCGAATCGGCGATAAACAATGACATTAAAACATTTAAAACAAATGTAAATTTACCAAGCTGAAATTCACAAAAAAATCCAAATAGAATCCAGCCAAGCCCAGCTCAGACAACCATCTGCATAACCGACTTGCTTGATGCATTGAGCTTGCGGATTCCGCGTTTTTTTTTCCACTTTTCTCCAATACAGATAATTATGTGCAATTCTCCATTAGAATGCTTAATAATGCAGTGTTGTAACACTGGACCACCAGTTTACAAGAAAAGAGAAATGAACTGAATAACCACCATTGTGTCATTTTTAAACCACTGATTAAACCACTGGTAACCAGAGTGAAAGTGGAATGCGTGTCTGCTAAAATATTCCCCAAAGTACATTTCATTTCACAAAGAGGGACAAAACAGAAGAAAAAAAAAACTGCAGCTTCAACAGACTTTGCCAGCAAAATCCAACTGACAAAGACAGGACTTCTCCCTGGCAGTGGAATGATCCCTGCTGCAGTTTCTAATAAGATTTTGAAAAAAAAAAACACTGGACACTTAATGGGAAAAAAACACTGGACAATAAGCCAGCAGACAATAAACTGTCACATTAGAAGTATGAAGGTCTGCTTATATCAAACATGTCATGCTGATGCAGCAGTGCTTCAAGCTGCAATAACCCCTGTGGGGCTTAACTTACACATCCATCAAAAGTGCGTTCACCGTTTCTCTCATATCGAGGCCCAGCAATGTCTCAGCTGCCATCTTTTCCCCGGGGTTTAAAAACAGTAACAGTGAGCTGCCACTCTTAAAGGGGGAACTGCATTCAAATCGATTCAAACGTTGTGAGGCATTGCGACAATGTCGCATATCCTTTTTAAGACTGCATCAGAGGATTTGATTAATTCTTTCCATTACCAATTGAATACCTTTTCATAGAAGCTGAAAAGATAACTTGTGATAACCATTTTTGGAAATCATATCAGACAGTCTAGCACTGGTTACCAGTTCCTGCTTCATCGCATAAAATGGTGTACCGCCATTCTTCATCAACTCCTTCATAACGGTAAGACCCACAGAAAATCAACCAATCAGAGCAGCTGGTGCATGTTCCTACACCAACCAGAGTCTCCACTGCATTTCCACTGCAACACACCAACTGAGGATAGGAAAGGTACCTACAGGTTACTAACTACAGCTTTTCAACTGACCCTAAGTAAAGTAACTCACAGAAAATCCTTAAGAAATCTTCCTCAATCAGGATTCTTAACGGGGAGACGCAATGTGTATTGCTCAAGAGATCAAGCTTTCCTCGTGTCTAGTTTTATGCATCCCCCAAAAAGTATCCAAACCTCACCATATGCTGTTTATAGCTATCAGTCCAGCTGGCCGATACACACCTTTTCTGAACACAGTCTTCCGAAATCAGTCATGCAGCACGTCAGGGGTCGAGTCCCCTCATTTTTTGAGAAAAACACAGCAGAACAAAAGTTGCAATTACAATAATTATACAATCTTTTTTTTGCTTTTACACGTATTAGGTGTTTCACCCTGTTGTGTGTACAATGAATTGCTTTCATACTGTGAAAATCATTTGGCACAAAGTAAACAAGTGAAAAGCTCATCAAGGATTGAGTTTTGTTGAAACAGCCAATCTCCAGTGGCACTCCTTTCTTGTGTAAAGAATAATGGGGGCACAGCAACAGAAACTGGGGGGTAGGGGTTTGGCCTAGAACATTTCAGCAGCCCCGAAGTGCTGGCTTACTGAATCTAAAGTAGTCACCACCTACACTCAGTGCCAGTGTAGTAAACAAAGGAATCACAGCCATTGGAGAGTAATGTACTTCTATCACCAGTAGCTCTGAGGTGCCTCTGTAACCATGTGCTTCCTCTTTATAATGCTGGTATTTAACAAACACAGTACGAGTTTCCCTGTTATTATAGAAACATGACCACATATCAATGCCTATGGTAGTATATATATGTATATATAAAAAACAATGTGTAAGCTTCAGCAACATCAACAGGTTTTCATACAAATAGAATTGAAAAAAATAAGAGACAGTAGATCAGATTAATTCCGTTAATTAACAAACGACACTTGGCTAGAAGTTGACTCTAAATATTGAGATACCGCAGCACCGATCACAAGAGGAAGCCACATTCAGATACGTAATACCGCACCTCCAGATAGTCATGGGAGACAGATGCGCGATTCTGACAATTAGCTGAAGAATGTGTCTGCTGCTTTTGTTCTACTGATCACAGGACATAGGCATACCAGCAATGGTGTGTCACAGTCACCCCCTCATAAGACAGCAGGGGGTGCCTCCCGCCCCTGAAACCCTCTCTGTGTGATGGAATGTGTGGAGGGTTTGAGGGGCACTGGGGGGAGGGGGCGTAGACTGGGATGAGTTGGTGTCCTGTGTTATTGCAAAACCCTCCCAGCAGGTCCAGACCCTTGTCTCTGCTCGCCGTCCCCTCCTCTCTCTTCCTCCAAGCTCCGCACGAGTGCAAAATCCTTTTTTGTGGTGTTTTTTGTCTATTTCTTTATTATGTCCCGCCTCTGGAAGGCAGGGCCAGGGGGCAGGGTCGAGGGCGGGGACATACCCAAACCAACCCCTGGCTCCCTCAGCCGCAGGAGATGACGGTGAAGCGTTTGGAGATGCAGGACATGTTGTGCAGGACGATGCCCAGGAGGAAGAGCAGTACGCAGGCCACCAGGATGACGGTGCACACCCCAGACCAGGTGGAGCCCTTCCCCCGGCACCCGCCTCTCCCCCACCTCCCCCTCTGGCCCCTCCAGCCCGGCCCCGAGGGGCTGCTGTTCGGGCACCGCCACTACGGCCACACCCTTCTGCTGCCCACCGGGCAGGAGCCGGCAGCCCAGGTCGCCCGGCAGCAGGGCCCGCTCCTTGGCGACGGGCAGCGGCAGCATGTAGCAGCCGTTGCTAGGCAGTCGGATGAAGACGGGCGTGTGCTCGGACGCGTGCGGGATGGCAATGACGGTGACGATGTCCGGGTCGTCGGGGAGCTGGGACACCGAGAGGCCTGCCGGCAGCTTGGTGACGCCCCGGCACCAGGGGCACCGGATCTCCTTCTGGCTGGTCCTCATCTGGGTCAGGCACACCGAGCAGCAGGTGTGCCGGCAGTCCAGCAGCTTGGGCCGGCGCCGCGGGCTGTAGTAGTTGAAACAGATCTGGCACTCCAAAATCGAGTCCTGGGAGAGCGTTTCCATTTTCGATTGTATCTACACTCTGTTTTTTCCCGTATGTTTCACGTCTTTTTCCACCCCGTCTTTTTAATCAACTGCCTCCTCTGCAGGGTCAGAAATGCCAATTTCAGTCAGTCAGAGGAGGCAAAACCAGACAGGGGCCAGCAGAGGGTAAATCCAGCAGGATTCTGACCGGGACCTTCGTTGCTCGAGCCCTGATCTCTCTCCCCTTGCCTGCGGATGCCTCGGTGTCAATGGCGTGTCACACTGTAATCCGCATTACATCTTCCTTGATCTGTGAAACAAGGGAAAGGACAGCATTAATCACGGGAAAGCAGGCAGGACGCTTCATCCGGTCCTGAGGCGGGGAGGGGGTGGGGTGAGGGAGGAGGAGGGGCGCTCAGACTCATCATCAGAGAGATTAGAGTCAGGGTTCACCTATCGGGAACGCATCAGCAGGAATGAAAAGCACATTAGCTTATGCAGTGGCGGGCAGCGCAAACAAAGGCCCAATGAGAAAATCGAGGGTGAAAGGACACGCCCGGATGTGAGGAGGGACAGAAAACGGTGTTGCGGTTACAGCCGGCGCTGCAATTACGACTGAGTCGCACGTTTGTACCGCTGCTCCCGCCCGCTCAGGCTGGGGAGGGATGCAGATCCACACAAGCGCTCAGCCGGCAAGCCGCGTCTTTTCTGGATGGGCGCTTTTCGCTGGAAAGGTTATTTAAACTGCAACACTGAGAGTGTCTCGCCAGCGCTCCGCTGCTTGGGAATTTTTGAGTTTGCAGAGAGAGAAAGAGAGAGAGAGAGAGAGAGAGAGAGAGAGAGAGAGAGAGAGAAGAAAAACTCCCATGTAAGGGAATTATTCATTTTAAACATCAAGTCTGTCCTCCCACATTTTGACCACCTGAGTGACACAGACAAAATGCCAATCATACCAAGAGAGGGACACACAGCCCCACTAGTGGCCCAGTTTGTGGCCATATGCCATAGCCTGAGGGATGGAGACTGCAGGGACAGAGAGCTGCAACACCAATAGTAAACTGACAAAATGTATATAACACAATAATTTATTTATTAATAATTGATCAGCTTACAGTTTATTGTAGTATGTTAGATTTATTGTTGTTTATTGTTTATCAACTTAACCTGTATACCTGTGTGCTTTGAATTTGTATGGTTATATTTGATTAATTGCTGTATTGTTCATGTTGTTGCTTTGGCAACACAACAATTGTCTGTCCTGCCAATCAAGCAGCTTTAAATTTTTCTTAATTTTTTTTTTTTTTTTTGAGAGAGAGAGAGAAATAGAAGGGGGTGGAGGGGGAGGGAGTCTGAAGTGAAACTCTATAGGAAAGAGCCAGCACACAGGCCAGCTCAATAAGGCTGAATTTACATTATTATCATTTAGACAAAGAGTTATAATTTTACATGTTATCCATTTATACAGATGAATATTTACTGAGGTAATTGTGCGTCAAGTACCTTGTCCAAGGGTGCAGCAACAATGCTCCAGCAGAGAATCAAACCAGCAACCTTTTGGTTACAAGCCCTACTCATTACCACTATGCTACACTGCTGCCCATTTCTGCCACTTGCTTGGACTGCAGAGCAGGCGGCGTGATTTGTGGGATGAATCACCGCAGATAAATACCTAATGACGGAGGATCGTTTCCTCAGTTGGACCCATCCCCGACAGCCTTAAACCCTGGTCTGTTTACCCAGCATGCATCAGAGGACAGTTTGAATCACATACACAATCCGCAGGAGTGAAAGAGCCCCTCTTTTTTTTCCCCTAACAAGCCACATTCCCTCTGAGCACCTCAAGGTGCCCTTCCGAATTCTCAACCCCTGTCCCCCATCCCACTTTAATGGGGCTTGTCAGTAGTCCAAACCCAGTCAATCACCTGCCGTCACAGTACGAGCACCGAATGATGTGGAAAACTCCATATGTTACCGAGCGGCTCCTGGTTGCCCACTTAGTCCACAATAACCTGCGCAATTTCAGGTTGTTAGCATCACCAGTCACCCCAATTTGTCAGGTTCTGCCTGGGGCAGAAGTGTTCATTCTCAGTCAGACCCACCCCTCCCCCCTTCACTTACTACACCCTCGCTGGGCGACCTAGTTACCCACCCTCAGGACTGCTGGAAGTGCATGTGAATTTCCCGCAGACGGAGGACAGCTCGCCCTTGGAGAAGCAGTCAAGGAATCAAGGGCACTGATGAATCCCTCCCTAAGTCAGGGATTTACTTTGATCTGATTTGAATGCCCCATGGCTCAATTTTCCCTTATACTCCTCTTGCCTCCCTCTCTTTCTCTCTTAATCTACCTCCAGTCCTTCTCTTTCTCTCTATCCCCCTCTCCCTCTCTTTCCCCCACTCCCTCTCCTTTTCTCTCTATAACCCCTCTCCATCTCCCTCTACCCTCTACATCTTTTTTCTGTCTATCCCTGTCTCCCTCTCCTTCTTTCTCCATCCCATTCTCCCTCTCCTTCTCTCTCTGTCCCTCTCTCCCTGTCCTTCTTTCTCTCTATCCTCGTCTCCCTCTCCATCTCTCCCTATCCTTTCCTCTCTCCCTCTCCTATCTCTCTCTACCCCTCTCTTTCTCTCCCTCTCCTTCTCTCAATACCCCTCTCTTTCTCTCTCTCAATACCCCCCTCCCTCTCTCTCTATCCCTGTCCTCTTCTGTCTCCCTCTTATTCTCTCTCTCCCTCTATCTCCCTTTCTTTCTTTCCCTATTCCCCTTCCCTCTCTCTATCTCTTATCCTCCCTCTCTCCCTCTTCTTCTCTCTTCTTTCCAGATGAAGACTTCCCAGCCCTAACATGTGGAAGCCAGACATGTAAGAGCAGTGGTTTAACATGCTGTGTTCCTGCACACCAGACCCCCTTCACAGAAAGGACCCCCTCCACAGCCTCTCAGAAGTTCACAGTCGTTTGGAATCATCCAGGAAGCTCCGTTAAATGTCACTGAATTTTGATTGTCTCCACTCTTTCCGGTGGCTTTGAAGTGCAGCCTGGGACAGCTCGTGACAGCCTGCCCGGCCGCACGGCGAGGTTAGCGTCGCATAGCTCAGGGTCCCCTATGCCCGCGCGGTATCAGTGCAGAGATTATTACTGGGAGCAAGCAAACAGCAGAGAGATGCGTTCTGACACATATAGCACAGACCTTCCAACCCAAGCTCTCATGACCTTGCTGTACTGTCATGCCAGCATAACATTAGTCACCCCTCTTTATAAATAACATAGTGCCATACATATAGGAACCACTATATGAGTACTGTAGCAGCATTATTTATTTGTTTACATGGCCCATATCCAGGGCGACTGGGATTGCTGACATTTCACATTTCGCACGAGCGCTCGACTCACTTCCACATCTGTGTCTCCGGCAGAGCCTTGCTCACCCACCAGAGTACAGGCATGGGCACTGTCCCACTGAGATAGGGTCCCTCGGACCCCCTTATCTCTCATCCAGAGGCCCATAAACCAGCACCCAGGTCACACAGCAGGGGTCTCTGATACACCGGTCACACAATGACTGCTAGACCTTTAGCCTTTAGCCCCGCCTCCTCACACCTGCAAGCCCGCCACCTCAGCCTCTCTCAGCCTGATCGCACCCGGCCCCTCAGGATCTCTCCAGATCCAGAACCTCATCAGATTCAACTGGAATTTACTATAAAGACATTGCACATAACACTCACACTGCATGAGAGCACGTGTTATGACACTACAATGGGATCCCTAGACTAAATCACTAGAACAACCACTAACAGCCACGAACATATCAAGAACTTCTGTGGTCACTGATTTAGGGCCAATTTTTAGTAATCAACATCAAAACAAAGGGGAAGGGTCTGGTTCCACACAATTCTGGTTTGGGCACAATTCTAGTGAAAAGAGTCACGTTTCAGAAATGTTTCTGTACGTCAACTGTGTAGCCAGGTATGATTTTTTTGCCTTTGTAGTGAGGACAGAAGACATTGAAAAGTAGCACATGTCAGAGAGGAAGCGTGTGTCAGAGGGGACACAGATTGACCCATTTCCGGATTGACGAGAGTTCCATCAGCGTGTGCACATGGTGGACACGCAGTCCACGTGACAGGTGGCCATGCCTGACACGCACACGCAAACACACACATACAAGCTCTCTGCAGACTTGAGTGTACGCAACGCTGCCAGCCCCACCTCACACACTTCCAGGCCGGACAGAGGAACGCCCGTCCGTCCACAGGAGTGAAACCAAGCCAGCGTGAAATATGCACTGAGACCAAGGGAGTGACAAGTGACCGTGAGAGACAACCACCAGGAAATGATAAAAGGGGAGGGGAAGAGACAAAGCCAAAGATAAGCCCGTCACCTGCAAGCGCCAAATGCCAAGCAGACGCACGTCAAAAGGAAATGACTCCCTGACCCTTCCTCTGGGGGACGTCTGAAGCCTCTGAACAAACAGCCAAAGCGCCCTGCATGAACCCTCACTTCAAACCAAGCATGCAGTGATTTCAAAGTGTTTCAGAAACTCCCGTTCCTGGCTGACGATCAAGGCAATGCTGAAGCTTCCCTGCAACGCATTACACTGCATTTCATTATTGTCATTTAGCAGACACTCTTATCCAGTGCAACTTACATAGGTCACAATTTTACCCATTTATACGGCTGGATATTTACAGAAGCAAATGTGGGTTAAGTACCTTGCCCAAGCGTACAGCAGCAGTGCCCCAGCAGGGAATCGAACCAGCAACCTTTCGGTTACAAGCCCTGCTACTTACAGCTATGCCCACTGTTGACCCATGACTGTGTGGGCTACAGACAGATGACATCACTTTAATGGCAGTCGACGCTGGCTTCTCCTTCCTTCCCTCCTCTGTTAAACTGGGAATCTGAATTCATTCTGTTCCCCCTCACCCACTACTGTCTGATTAAGCTTCCTGTCTTCTCCAGATCACCAAGCAGCACTGATCTGGGGCCAGTGTCTCAGTGTCCAAAGCGTATTGTGTGGGAGCCTCTTTTAGATATAGAACATGTACCACACGTGTTTGTGAAACCAACCTCTTTTACACTAGCTGGTCATATGCATGCTACCACCATCCTATGTTGAACATATTTAGCATACTCTGTCATTTTTCACAGTGCCCAGAGCACAGTGGAGGCATGTATTATTCATTCGCTTGGAAAGCACGCTCATCCAGCATGACCTAAAGAGCTTAGGTATTTACAGATATTGTGAGCATCAGATATGTACTGCACCATTTTGGGGTAAATTCCTTGTTTGGATGTACAACAGCAACACCCCAGCCCCAGGGTTTGAACCTGAGCAACAAGTCCGGAGCCATTTCCAGAACACTACATATGTCATAACCCCTTGAAGGACATTTGAGTGTGGTTAAAAAATAAAGTGTCCTTGACAAAGAGTCACATGTTTCTAGTCCTACGAGCCGTGAACCAATGCAGCAGCATGGCTGTGTGGGCACCAGGATGCTCAAACGCACACAGAGCCTGCGTGCGATGCAGGCACAGATGGACTGGCAGATGAAGACATGAACAGCCGACTGCCACGGGGGACGTTCCGGTGATTTCCACCCGGGAGGGGGCGGGTAACCCAGCCCCTCGCCCCAGCGCTGGCGGCGTGCAAATTGCCTGCGATTATGGGGGCACCGGACCATGGGCACGACGATTACCCACATTGAGGCTCTACTTCTACGGGGTGCACTGCTTCAGAAGAGGTGTGGGGGGCGCATCTCCAACAGCAAGCCAACAGGACTGTGGTCCCCCATTTTAGTTCAGTCAGTTTATTCCTGAACCTCCAAAAGGCATCCCTCCTGTAAGTCAACAGTAGGTCCAAGTAACTAAGCCAAACCCAATTAGAAATGATCAGTGCTAGGGGCAAGTAAAACAAAAAACATTTTTAAAACATACTTATACAGAAGACATTACACAGCAAAATCAATAGTACTAATTCAACACAGGAAGTGTTCATTTAAGTCTGAAAAGTATCTATATTGTCACACTTTTACAGTTGTGGGGTTGAATGAACACTTGATTTTTCTGTGCAGCTCATCCTAAAGCATGTTTTTCCCCTATCCTTTCTACGCAGATGGCTAGGTAAAATCACATTCATCCACCATTAACAGGACAGGATGAGGTTTGCGACAGCCGAGCTGAGCCGAGTTGGCATACAAGGCCCGACAAGCGTACCCCCACCTTCCCCTTTGCCCCCCCTCCCCACGTGCCCCGGCAGCTACCGGCTCACACCGATAAATAACAGCCCTATATCCACCAGGGGTGGGGGTGGATGGATACGCTGTTGTCTCCGTGGGCCGCGCACTTCAGCAGGAGAAAAGAGGCGCAGACGGATGTGCGGCCCTGTGCTGTCAACAGGACGTCATTCACAGACAATTTAGAGTCCATTCAGCGCCTTCGCCCGGAACCTGACAGAAAGGGAAAGGGGGGGGTTCAAGAGAGGCGGTTTGAAAGGCGAGGCCCTCGTACCTCATCCGCAACGCCTTTCATAGACGCCCCCAATTCAACGCTCTCACCAGAAGAAAAAGGCCTAAATAGGGCTGTTTGTGCCCCAGAAAAGCCT